AGAGAGAGTGTACATATATTGAAAATTTAATCTAAGGGCCACTTTCACCAAACTCAGTTAACTTAATCAGCCTAGTAACTGTAATGAAATAGTAAGAGATAGAAATAATTCTATCTCTTTCTATTTCATTACAGTGCTGGTCAAGTAAACCGACGATGGTGAAAGAGGCCCTAACCTGTTTAATGCTTGTATGGCTCCTGGAATAGCCGTGTTATCGATGTGCAACGTCCCGCTAAGATCTATCAGCACCGTCGTGATTTGCCTTGCCATTGTTATTCTTATTACATTATAATTTAATGAAATATGTATATATAATTTTGTAGATATGCCATGAGTTGTTATCAAGATATATTGTGTGCCTTCCAACAAACGACACAAATGACACGGTGTGACACAATGGATCATTACACCCTTGTTGTTTGTCAATGTTAAACAAAGATAATATGATCACTGTGTCGCACTCTGTCGCTTGTTGGAAGGCACACATTAGCAACAACTAACAAGTGCATTTATGGTGCATTTACTATAGCAATTATCAAGTGTTCTTTGTACACTATTTCATTTTATAATTTTTGCACTTAGGTCCTGCGCATAATAGAAGGAATAAGAAATTAGGAATAAAGACTAAACGATTTTAACTTATCAGAAATCGGATACATCAGGATACACGGTTTCTGATAGGTTGAAAGCGTTTATATATTGTTGACAACATTTTGTATTTGTACATTACATTTTTAATTTTAACATGTAGACAATAATTTATAAATTTACCTAGATAGCACAATTTCGTTCTAGGAATCTTCTATAAATATTTTTTGAGAATTTTGGAATATTCTCAAAAGAAGCGTATAAAATGAAAAGAACCTTCTAAAAATATTCATAGCATGATAAATTGGGACTATTTTCTGAATTCCAGAAAAATCCACAGAATGTTCCACTAAATCATCATAGAGTGTTCTAAGAATTTATAGGAATGTTATTACAGAATCTTCTAAGAATATAATAGGAATATCTATATCAGTGCTGGAATTTACTTGAAATTTTTAGCCGATTTTCAGCTTGATTTCCACACCTTTCTTCACCAATTCGCACGCATTCATTGCCGGTCGACATTTAGCTGTGTGCAGGTTGATGAAGTAAAGGAGCGAGTACCAAACTGAAAATCGGCCGAAAGTTGGAAGTAAATTCCCGCACTGGTCCATATATATATATATATATG